AACGGTTTACTCAATCTATTATTAACACTAAGTAGATTATGTTCTGTGGATTGTATATGATTAATTCTCTATCTAAGGCTTTGAGGGTTAACCGTAAATAGTGTCTATTATTATCTGTGGTAATAGATAGTTATATCAAGTCGTAATATGTTTATGAAATGGAACGTTTTTCAAGAATATGGATAGGTGGTTGGATAAGTTAGATTAGTAGTTAGATACCAGAGGGAGACTTTGTACAAAGTCGTTTGCTTGTTACTACCGTGAAGCACTTGTGTTTGCATGGTTGTGTTTGAAGGGTGGGTTATACCAATGAATTTACAGGTTACAGAGGAATAACACCTGAGTTCTCAGGAATAGCAACGCAACGTACTGCTCATGTCTATAGCTGACGGTTAGCACTTTCCATCAGGTGGGTCGTCAGCTTATTTGCCATTCTAAATTGCATAAAAAAAGCAAAATATACCATACGATAATAAATTAACTTTTACCTAACTTAACCTAGAGACTACAGAATTGGGTTCTTTAAAAATTATTAAATTATTATTATAAGGGCGTAATATGGTTCTTGCAAGGTTGTCAACGCGTACGTGAAATCTCTATTGTTAGAATATTTCTAATGCTAAGAACAAGGAATTACATACAAACAATCAATTTTTTTTTCTCTTTAAACTACTATATATATTTATCATATAGATATTTGGTAATTTAGTAATTGTAAATTGTATTTTGTGCGTTATTAGCGTGTACTAAAAATCACATTAGCTAATTTAATTAGGTATAAATGTAGAGAAAATAAATGAATTTTTTATATTCGTGCAAACCGCGCGGTCACGTCATTGATATGAGACAAAAAACAGTCTCGTTAATAGCGGCTTATTTTGTAAAGTAATTTATCTTGTTGATGTAACGACCGCCTATCGTTTTTATTCATATAGGAAATATCAATAAAAACAACGTCAATACCTAATTTGTTAACTATAATGACTGTTAGTCTCTGTTAACCAATAACCGCGATGTGTTAAACAAACGAATGTCACGTGTTGTTCGCACATCAGTCGCAGCGCGTTTGATATGAATATACTGTTGGTGCTGGTATTGACACTTGTGCATGTATTTTGTAACTCGATAAAAATAAAAAAGAATCGAATGTCTGTATATAGTGATGTACTGAATGGCTCTTTTTTTGTAGTATTTTAATATTCATTTAAAGAATCGAATACTCACTCGAGTTTTAGGTCTCAGGCAAGTACTCGAGTATTGATTCATATTAGTGGCACGTGGTAGTATTTGATTTTGGATATTCGAAAACTTCATTAGACTCGAGTAGTCTTTTTATTAATTTTTGAAGCTAAATTTGAATAAGGATAAATAAATCTATAGTTTTTTAATAAATTTACTTTGGTAAAAAATGAAAATAATAAAATGACGAAAGAGACATAAACAGTATCCGATATCCGCAAGTACTCGATTTTTGTATTCGAGTGTTGTATATCTAAATTTTGTGTACTGAGTACACGAGTATCTGAGTACACATTGAGTATTCGAGTTAACTCGGTACATCACTAATCTCAGTCAGTCGAGCCTATAAAATTCGGGGATGAGGTTTCTCATACGGTTTGAGCTTAAATGAGAAAATCTTTATACAAACACATGTTTCCTTTCCGCTTATTTATTAAAATTGTGTGGGGTGAAGCCGAATCATTAGCATTAGCATATTAGCATCTGTTCGTACGATTCGAAATTTCAACCAAACAATAATTAGAATAAATGGGTATTATTTGCTCCAATTTGAGGGAGTAATTTCTATTTTTTTGTCTCGATAAATGATCTGTAAAACAACGTTTTTTTGATAGGTGATAATGAGTTCCCGCCTGCGTTATTGGTAAACTCGTACGTTGGCGGGGTAACAGTGAGTGATGATAGGTAAGGATGAAGTCAGCTCAGTCATCCTTTCGTGACGAATTAATTTCGATGATTTTGTGGGAGGATCATGCAAAGGTCAATCTGATAGGATATATTGCTAGCAATGAGAGTATTATACAATTATTTACAATCTCTTTATTTTTAAATTATATATATATATATATATTTATTGCACTTGTAAATCATACAGATAAGACAGTTATAAATATTGTGAGCAAGGGTGGCTTATCTCTGAAAGAGATCTTTCCAGCCAACCTAATACAGTGGGAAAGCATGTCGTTAGCGGCCATCTAAAGTGCACGAGTGCTGTACAAACTATTAATATATAAGGTACAAATAAACAGCTAAATTAATTATTAATATATATTATGACTACCGACTCGCCCCGGCTTCGCACGGGTGCACATTACATCACATCACATTAGAAACCTCTAAAATTATCAGTGTTTCTCTACTATATTATGCATGTACTATACATATAAACCTCTTGAATCAAATCTATTAAAAAAACCGCTTCAAAATTCGTTGCGTAGTTATAAAGATTTAAGCATACATAAGAATGGATAGACAGCGACCGCGACTTTGTTTTATACTATGTAGTGATATTACATAGCTGTAGAGAATGCATATATGTCATATTAAGCTCGCCACTTTTATAAAGTTTTATTGTACAATAAAGAATAAATAAAATACATAAATAGAATAACTAATTATACAATAAATATACTACCTACATTACAAATTTAATTTAAATATTTTAAGATTTCATATCTTTAACTGAATGTTTTTAAGATTCACCAAAAATTAATACTAGAAATTAACTGAAGACAATGGCTGTATAGGTATAGTCCTTTTGCTTTCCCTATTGATGGGGAAAACACGTAATATTAAGTTTATGGAGAAAACAGAACAATATATATATATATATATATATATATATATATATATATATATATATATATATATATATATATATATATATATATATATATATAAAGAAATACGCTTAGATTATATACATAGATAGAGTGTCTCCATACAAATTCTTCGAGAAAAGCGGGTCAACTTATTCATACAAGTTTCCGTGATAAATAGTTACGAGTGATTCTTTTATAACTTCTATGTTTATTTTGTCTTGTTTGCATTTTTAAATGCGTAAAAACTCATATTATTAAATAATTAAATATAGATACGTCAAGATAAATTGTGCGCGTAAGTGTATAGAGCACTGTTAAAAAAACGAGTTAGCTAATTTGACAATTAGCTGATAAAAAGTTAACCCGTTTTTAAGACTCGATGCTCTATCTATATAATCTAAGCACATATGGTAGTGTATTTGTTCGTAATCGGGGCTATTTTGTAAAAAAAATACAATCCAGACAGCGTCAGAATTGGAATGGCGTATTAGTTCGGCCCCTTTTGATATCTATCTCCTTGGCAAGTATCTCGGCCAGATGTTGCTAAATTAATGTTTGTAAATCTCTTTTACAAATGGATTTCAGTATTTTTCTCCTTTCGCTTTGCAAGTTTCTCGGTTTCCGTCGGCGGATTAATTAATTTTTTGCCTAACTTGGTTTTAATTGCTTTAGTTTTTAAGTACACATTTTTGTTAAACACAATCAATTATAGTAGAAGTCGTTTCTTATGGTTTAAAACTCGGGCAATTCTGTTGTCACTTGTTCCTTTAAGACTTTTTAAAACCCTTTTTTCCATTAGGAAATTAATTTCCCGTCATTCTTTTGTTGATGCGACGCGTTACTTTTCTGCATGGTATAAAGCACAGTTACTTCCCCCGTTTGTAGGCTTAGATCTTTTAAATTATGCAACGAATTTTAATGCAGTTTTCATCGTTATTGACAATCCCTTTCCCCCCTCGTTTTCACCTATCATCAGTTATTAGTGTCCTACCAGCGTATAGCGTAAGTACCAATAATTTACACAGGCAGCAAGATTTACTATACTATTTTCATTAATAAAAAAGACCAAAAAACAAAAGACACGCTATCTGGCGTTCCAAATTCAATTTTTAATGTAAGGTACCTGCAAAACATTTTATCGTCATTTATCAATGTATATACCAATTGAAGACTTTTGTTTACGGAACGTAATGTACTTGTTAGAACTTGATTGATGGAAATGATTTTACAGAGTTGTTATGAGAAAAAAAATACGTACATTTACAAAAGGAAGACGGCGAGGGAGTTGACATATGCTGTTGTCAGATGACATGACATGTACGCTCCTATGATATATTCATAAAAGAAATAAAAGGCAACACATTTTCAGTTTTATTTCAGAGACAAAATTTTATACAGGAGTTTCTTTTTTTTATACAACTTACAATGGCAAACAAGCTGACGGTCCACCTGATGGAAAGTGGTAACCGTCGCCTATACACATGAGCAGTACTATGGACATAACAGAGTATACTGTTTCGCCCATGATACCACCCATGCGATGCCATTCTTGAGGACTCAGGTGTTATTCCTCTGTATCCAGTAATTTCACGCCATATCCCACCCTTCAAACCGAAACACAGCTATGCAAACACAACTGCTTCACGGTTGAAACACGAATGGGACAAAACTATCATGATTACAGTTTCTTGTAACCATGATAGTTTTGCATGACCAAAATCGCGAGAAATATGTAGCTAGTGTGAAATAATTAGAAACAAATTGATACAATTGCGAAAACAAAGAAACGTTCCAGTTACGCTTGTACTCGTATCAAATTTGACGAAATGAAAATTATTAAAGCAATCCCTGTCATAGATTAAAAACGTGCTACATTCTATAAGACCTATGAGAGTGTGAACAGTATTGGTAGTTTTAGGTCAGTAGATTGGCTGATACGAACTACTCAGTAGGAAATGACGAGTCAAAATATTATTGTATTTGTAAAATGCAAATCACTATTGAGTTGTAAACGAACATTATTTGACGATATTAAAATTATTAAAGCAATCCCTGACATAGATTAAAAACGTGCCACATTCTATAAGACCTATTGTTGGAGTGTGAACAATATTGGTAGTTTCGTTTTCTTTACTAAATATAATTTTTCTTTTGTTGCAGATCAGCAGCCCAACACAATACTTCTGGTACAGAACGACCCTTCAAATATCCGAAGACATTAACCATCCCCAGACCTTCAATTACAAGATAGCATTAGCACTCGTCATCGCTTGGATACTGGTCTACATGTGCATGATCAAAGGCATCGCCTCATCAGGGAAGGTCGTCTACGTTACCGCCACATTCCCTTATATTGTCCTAGTTATTTTCTTTTTTAGGGGCATTACATTGAAAGGTATGAGCGATGGGCTCATTCATCTTTTTACGCCAAAGTGGCACACGATATTAGACCCTGTGGTCTGGCTGGAAGCAGGCACACAAATCTTCTTTTCCCTTGGCTTAGCTTTCGGAGGGCTAATTGCCTTTTCATCGTATAACCCTGTCGACAATAACTGCTACAGGGACGCAATAATGGTATCTATGACTAACTGTTTAACGTCGATGTTTGCTGGCATCGTCGTGTTCTCCATAATTGGTTTCAAAGCGACAATGGTTTACGAAAAGTGCTTGGGTGTCAGAAACGAGACTTTATTGGATATATTTGGGCCCGGTTATAAATCTATGGTATTCCCGGAGCCCGGGCAAATGGTGACAGTCGATATAAACGGTAATCTGACGAAACTGTTGATGCCACATTTGCCGGAGTGTGATTTGCAGAAGGAGTTGGACAATGTAAGTGAAAATTATTATTGTTAAATAGGCATTTCTTCATTCAGAGATCTTCATTGTTACAAGTTTAGGTGCTTTTAAAATTTTGAACAATCTTAATGAAAGACGCAGTGACAATTAATTATTTCGAGAAAGTTTTAAATGACACAATTTACGTTATTCTAAGAAAGGTCGAGCAGTAAATGTCTAATTTTAAGAAGTATATATATATGTCTACTTTAATTAATTTCAAGCTTTGCTATATTTATAACAATGCATAATTTATATAATTATTAATCAGTGTTGATGTGTTAAGTTTAAAGACAAAGGTCTTTAACTAGTGAGTATTGCCAGTTAAACTGAATCATGGTCCTACACGGTTGCTCGTACGTAAAAGTTTCAAGTTATGGTACTTAGCGAGATATAGAGAGGGTTATGCTCCGAGTTACTTTGCGTGACAGAATCTGAAATGAGGATATCCGTAAGCCCCAAAATGATCGACATAGCTCCAAGGATAAGTAAGCTAAAGTAACAAAGGGCTAGTCACATAGCTCGACGAACAAACAACGAATGGAGAAGAAAGATTTTTGAGGTCATATAGGACGGCTCTCCACTATATGGAGAGACGACCTCTAATGCATTGCAGGGAGCCAGTGAATGTAGGTGGCTTAGGGTTGTTCCTTAAGGTAGTCCATGGGGGAGGCCTATGTCCAACAGTGGACAGACAATGGCTGATTAGATGATGACAATTGATATGACATGCGATTCGTGTAATTGAACTAAATTATTCAAATATTACTTAGACATATTTTAAGTACTGTAAATATACATCTATGGCTATGTTTTTGTTAGACACATATATCGACATTTACTTGATATTTTTAACAATTTAAGGGAGGGTGTACTTAAAATTAAGAGGATTTTATGATTTTCTTTTTCAATTTATGTATATTAAAAGCACATATTCAATTCCAAAACCCTATAATAATATTATAAAATTGTATAGATAGATATCTACTTATAACGATAGACTTAACTTCATAAGACCCTATTAGAAATTTCAAGCGGACGGAGTCTGAAAAGGGTTTCGAAGAAGGATTACCCGCGACCCAGTTTATCGTACTATCTTGAGTCGTTAGTTTATCGACTCGTTGTACTTTGCAAATAAGTTTGTTTTATTTAAAGTGAAATGTTCTAAATTAATTATAGAATTAATAGATAAGTAAAACAATTATAATGTTATAGTAATAGGTACGGGTAAACGCAGTGTAGGACGACCCCCCACTAGATGGAGTGACGACCTGAAATGCGTTGCAGGGAGTGAGTGGATGCAGGTGGCTCAGTACCGTTCTTTATGGCAGTCTATGGGGGAGGCCTATGTCCAGAAAAGGACGGATAAAGGCTGAAAATGAAAAAAAAATAAAATATAATAAATAATAGTAATATAATCAATTTTGAAGAACCTTTAATATGATGCCTACGGTCGCTTTCTACCATCATACAACTTGCCGTCGACAGGGTTTTCACCCCTACACCCCAGACTAGATGGTCGCGTATAGCAATATTTCAGAGATGTTTTCTCCGACGAACGCTCAGGTTATGGAATGAGCTCGAGTCGAGGTATTTTTAAGAGACTACAGCATAGGGTTCATTAAAGAGGTAAAAGGGTTTCTTCAAGGTCGGCGTCTGCGCATAATGTCCCTGGTATTGCCGGCATAGGCTACAGTAACCGATTACCATCAGGAGAGCCGTATGCTTGTTTGCCATCTCAGTGGTATAAGAAAAAGGAAATAAACTGTTTATTATGCTTTTACCAGTAACAATGTTTCAATTTGATTCATTGAGTCTGAAAATGAGCGCGAACAATTTGCACTGTATGCTGAATTAGTATCTGCATAATCATATGGATAGACAGATCTTATAAGTACATGATTTGTAGAGAAATTTAGTAAATCTACAACTATGTGTAGGTAGATGTATTTAATCCTATATGACATTGATGTATTCTCCATAAATAATTAGAGAAGCAGAAATTTGTAGGAGGTAATAATTTATCACTTGAGTGCTATAAACTTATGCTCTCCTAGTACTTAGGTATATATAGCACACTTTTGTGAGAACCAAATTAGAATCAATGGCTATATGTATAAGAATAATTTAAAAGTTCTGTTCACGTATTCAACTAAAGTTATATCCATTTAACTTTTCAGACGGCGTCCGGCACTGGATTAGCATTCATAATCTTCACAGAGGCTATCAACCAGTTTCCCGGGGCTCAGTTTTGGTCCGTTTTATTCTTTCTGATGCTGTTCACACTGGGAATCGATTCTCAATTCGGCACATTGGAAGGCGTGGTGACCTCTATAGTTGATATGAAACTGTTGCCCAACCTGAGAAAGGAGTATTTAACCGGTGGTCTATGCCTGATATGCTGTATATTGTCTATGGGATTTGCACATGGCTCTGGCAGCTACATATTCCTCCTCTTTGACATGTATAGTGGGAACTTTCCTCTGTTAATCATCGCATTTTTCGAATGTGTCGGGATTGCTTACGTGTATGGAGTGAAGAGGTAAGTACTTTAATATCTAAGGACTTTTGTATCGTCACAGTATTATAAAAACTTTGTAATAAAGTACAAAGGAAGAACACCTGAGTCCTCAGGAATGGCAACGCATGGGGGGTATCATGGACGAAACAGTATACTCTGTTATGTCCGTGGTACTGCTCATGTCTATAGGCGACGGTAACCACTTTACATCAGGTGGACTGTCAGCTTGTTTGCCATTCTAAGTAGTATAAAAAATGTACAAGCAAATTTTAAATTTTATCATCATCATCCTCACTTTACTGTCTGTTTGTCTGTCCACTGCTGGACATAGGCCTTCCCTATAGACTGCCATAAGGAAAGAGGAGATTTTAAGGATAATTTTTATGGATAAAAAAAAATTGCTTGTGCATTTTTTACATATTCACACACTTAATGAATACGAATTTGTTTTGAATAATAAACTAAATTTGAAGCAAACACAGTAGTTCACTTAAAAGTGATCGTGTTCGAGTGAATGATTGATGACGGCTCGTATATTACGCGTGTTGATTGAACTATATAGAAGTATGTGGGGAGGCCTTTAGTAATATATTACTTATATAAAAAATCTATAATGTCAAATATATCAGAATATTTCAAATAGGATCATTTATACTTACTTATTCGATGTCGTTTCGTCCCGGCATAAAATTGGCCACCCTTTACTATCTCGTGTGTGTCGTAAGAGACGGCTGAGGGAATTTAATGGTCGAGGAATAAGTAGCAGTATCTCTATTAAAACATCACGAAAACCAAATAGCGGTTACCAATCCACTTGCCAAGCGTAGCAATTACGGGTTAAACCCCCCTTATGGGGAAGCTTATGTTTAGCAGTGGTCAGCAGATTGGCTGATACAAACTACTCTGTAGGAAATGACGAGTCAAAACATTATTGTATTGGGGGGAAAAGGGATTGTTAGTAATAGAGACTAAGAATCCCATTGCTAGCAATATATCCAACCAGGTCGACCTCCTCGCGGTTTCCCCTGGAAACTATCATGGTTAATTCCTGATGAATTCATCATGATGGGCTAACAGGCCTGTTTTCATTCTCATCAATCACCTTTCACTGGTGCTCCGCCAGCGTATCCCATTAGCGCAAGCGGGGTTACCACTCCATTTTCATCCAATAAAAAAAACGTTATTGTATTTGTAAAATGCAAATCACTATTAAGTTGTAAACGAACATTAGTTCTGAAGATCTAACTTAAAATCAGTGAGGTTACGTTTGAAATAAATTTTAATAAATCGATCGATATTGGAATTGAAATGTTTCACACTCTCGAACTGCAACACTAGCGACGTAATGGTTCCATACTGTTCTAATAGTGCAACTTGCCAATGCAAACTGTTGCAAACTGATCCCGATTTTCATTCCATTCCTAATTGTTATTTCATGTGCATAGTACAAAATTAAAATTGTCATTAGCATTAGATTGGCTCGATATCGATACTATATTTAAGAGTAAACCTGATGGTACACATGTTTTACGATGATATGCCATCTATTTCAGGCTGTAGCTGAAAATCAGTGCTTTGTTTTTAAGCAAAACTATCACTGAGTCGTGGCCTATTTGGGTCACTGTGACACACGTGGCAAAAACATATTTTTGTATTTTATCTTTTGTGTTTTATTCTTATAGTTATGTAATTTATTTGATTAAAATTTTATTTGAATCATCTATGACACACGTAAATTTACAACTAATTTAGTTGTAAATTTAAAACTAATGAAATTAATATCAAAACCAATGAAATAGATTACTAGAAGTAATCCATTCATTATGGATATATAGATACATTGATAGATAAATACTTTATTTGAGTCATCTATGACACACGTAAATTTACAACTAATTTAGTTGTAAATTTATCCATATTGAATGGGATAGAAGTAACTTATTTCATTGGTTTTGAAATCGATTCGTATGAAGAAGTGGACAAAAAACTTATTTTTGTATTAATTTTGCAATAGAAAAGGTTTTGCTCTTGTGTTGGTTTTATATTGCTAGTAATTTTGTTACGATTGATGACTCTGTTTCTTAAGTGACTTTAATTATATTATTATGATGTTAATACACTTCTTGGTCTATACGTATATCTGTGGATTAAAGCTTTGTAGCATAGAAGAATTAGGTGCAGTCGTGGTGAAATGTTCGAATGTAGGTCAATTAGTTGAAGTTAAGTGCAGTCAGAGACATGCAAGTACGCGTTGCTAGGTACGACGTAGGTATTTTATTATTTAACTAGCTTTAGCTTTTAGCCTGTTACTTTTCACATGTAGATATCAGAAGTAGTTATAGATAATATAGATACCAATCCGATATCCATATATTGGGTTTCTCTAGACATTGATAGCGGAAAAAAGCCATCATCTATTCCGATATTACCAATATCTGTCGAATCATTAATAATTAAGGATAGGATAGACGCTAAGAGATGACAAACAAACTAATTTCCATATTTGTAACATCAGTAAGGATTTTCAACAAGTGAGGCAAATTTACAAAATAAATATTCACCTTGCCGCGATATTGGGTATTGATTTTGGTCAGCCGTTGTAATACAGTTAAGTAACATGTAGGTGCTCATTACAATTGAGGGGCTAATGGACTGCCTACATTAGTCTTCAGTGACAGCCAATAGAGACAACACCGTCCGAGAAAGTTTAACAACTAAATTAGTTGTAAATTTACGTGTGTCATAGATGACTCAAATAAAGTGTTTATTTATCTATCTATCTATATTTCCATATTGAATGGGATAGAAGTGATTTATTTAGTGAGTGATTTATTATGGGCAAAAGAAAAAATAGTTTCTTCTAATTTTTAAATAATTTTGCAATAGAAATGGTTTTGCTCTTGTTTTGGTTTTATATTGCTAGTAATTAAGTAACATTAAGTACATTATTATGATGATAATAAAGTTATTAATCTATATCTGTGGATTAAAGCTTTGTAGCAGAGAAGAATTAGGTATCAAGGTTATCAACATCATATCAGCTGTTAATTGTTTACTTTTGAACATAGGCTCCTCTCTATTGGGGGGGTTTTGCCAGTAGTCGCCACGTTTGGCAGGCGGGTTGGCAATCGCAGTTAGGCTTTGATGATGTTTTAAAAGGGACGCTGCTACCCATCCCTCGACTCATTCCTAGGAATATTAGATTTAAAATGCTTGGATTTAAAACTCCGAACAGTTTTTTTCAATCTGCATTAATTAAGATTTTGTCTCACAAAAAAAAACTGACTTCAATCGTGTTAAAAACTTTTGATTTTAAAAACTAAGCTAAAGTCAAAAAATCCTTTCAAATAAAAAAAAATATTTTTCAATTTAGTCTATAAATGGCCCAGTTATGAGGTTATAAACATAAAAAAAACATACAATAGAATTGTGAACCTCCTACATTTTCAAATGTCATAAATTATATCTATTATAAAAAGAATTGCCAAAATCGGTTCAGAATTTTCGACGTAATCGTGTAATGTAATCGCATAAAAAATTTCCGATGAATTGATAACCTCTCTCTTTTGGTCGCTTAAGAATAATGAAGGTTCCAAAATCGATTTACGCTTACAAAAAAAAGTTAATACATTCCGTAGGCGGGCTCGAATCAATGAGGCCGATTCTGAGGTTCCGATTCTTTATACTTATCTTTTTTTTTTATACAGCTTAGAATGGCAAACAAGCTGCCGGCCCACCTGATGGAAAGTGGTAACCGTCGCCTATAGACATAAGCAGTACCATGGACATTACAGAGTATACTGTTTCGCCCATGATACCCCCCATGCGTTGCCATTCCTGAGGACTCCGGTGTTATTCCTCTGTACCCAGTAAATTCACACCATATCCCACACATATCATGCAAACAACTGCTTCACAGTTGAAACACGAATGGGACAGAGGTACCCAAGCAATGGACTTTTGTACAAAATCTCCCTCTAGTAAATTTTAGTTTAGAGGTTTAGAGAAATCGACCTTAATGCTTCCGACCTTCTACAAAACCTTTTTGTTCTTGCCGCCAAGTTTCGCATGAGGGTGAGCGAGGGGGCGAGTCTGTGCCCTTGTTTTGCTCAAAGTTCTAACAAATTGACAGATTCTTATGCAGTGGTTTTTGTGTGATTTGAAATAGATTGCAATTTGTATACGTATACGTGTATAAAATGGTGACCGTTGCATTTGGTATGGCCTATAGACATAAACAACACCGATCAATATGGTTATCACGAAATAATAATAAGGGATTACTAGTGATGGAGACTGAGAATCCCATTGCTAGCAATATACCCAACCAGATCGACCTCCTCGCGGTTCCCTCTGGAAACTGTCATGGTTAATTCCTGATGTATTCATCATGACCCTGATCTCATCTATCACCCTTCACTGGTGCTCCGCCAGCGTATCCCGTTAGCGCAGGTGGGGTTACCATTCCATTTTCATCCATCAAAAATAAAAACCATTACCCGAGAATTTGTCCGCGTGATTGGAATATTTTTATGACCGAAATAAAAGTAGCCTTCTCCATCCCACGTAGTAAGTGTATATATACTAAATTTTATGGAGATTGGTTAAGCCGTTTTTTTAATGGGTGATAATAAAATGGTAACGCCAAGGTAGCGATGTTTGCCGAAGCTCATACAGATAGTTTTGACGCAGACTGGCGTAAAAAGACAGTTTCGGTCTTGCATCGAATACGCGGAAGTGGGAAGTCTCCTGAACATGTTTGTAGATAAATTAGATAGTCCTCTCTTCATCCATAGTTTTTTTTTATACAACTTAGAATGGCAAACAAGCTGACGGCCCACCTGATGGAAAGTGGTAACCGTCGCCTATAGACATGAGCAGTACCATGGACATAACAGAGTATACCGTTTCACCCATGATACACCTCATGCGTTGCCATTCCTGAGGACTCAGGTGTTATTCCTCTGTACCCAGTAAATTCACGCCATTTTATTTTCATTTTTTATTTTAAACATAATGTACAAAGGCGAGCTTATCTCTAATAAGAGATTTCTTCCAGCAAATCTTTCATTATTAACTTAGTATTAACATACTCGTAGTTTGGTCATGCGTGAAAGAAAAAGTCTGAGTAATAATAGAAGCCCATAGTTTTTGTTCATCTAATTAATAAGCAATTATAAGTTCTTTTTTTACTGGATGATAATGGAATGGTAACCCTGCCAATGCTAATGGTATACACTGGTGCCCACCAGTAGGGGTTGAAAGGTGAGAATGAAAAACTAAATCAGTTAGCCCATCGTGATGAATAGATCTGAAATTCAACACGATGGTTTCCAGGGAGGATCACGGGGAGGTCGACCTGGTTACGTATGTTGCTAGCAATAGGAGCTTCAGTCTCCATTACTAACAGTCCCTTCCCCTCTAATTTTAAGGTTCGCTGACGACATTGAATTGATGACCGGAACTCGCCCGGGTATATACTGGCTGATCTGCTGGAAGTACCTCTCGCCGCTTGCTATGCTCTCGATCCTGATATCCTCGTTTGCTGAACTGGCCATGGAGGGGTCAGGTTACGAGGCCTGGATACCATCAGAGGGGGACACCGTGAAGAAACCATGGCCGATATGGGCGGTGTTGCTTGTCGTAGTACTGATTCTGGCGTCTGTGCTGTGGATACCAGGATTGGCGATATGCAGGTATTATTTTATTTTACTAATAAAATTGTAGATTAAGGTTACTGAATGGGATATATAGACATGCATAAAGTTGTTATCAAGTTACCATTCTAAGTTCAATAAAAAAAAATATGTGAAAGGTCTTATTATATTTAATATTTTGAGAAAAATTTTATGGAACCAATCCGTAAGCATACCCTTTCAAGTAAAATAATAATTTTTCAATTCAGTTTAGCATTAACAGAGTTATGAGGTGATAAATATAAAAAAAAAATATAACCGAATTGGGACTCTCTTTTTTGTTGAAGTCGATTAAAAATGAGGTTTATTTCTTTCCAGATATTTTGGCTATCCGATCATAGAAGACGAGGAGCGAGCGTGGTTCCCCGCTGAGGAATTACGCGACTTCCACGGCATAGAGCCCAGGCCGGTGTCCGCTACCGAGACCCTGTTGTTTTGCACCAGACCAGACGGGAGCGAGAGGTGCTGTTGGCCAGGTTGCTGCGAAACCGATGATGATGAGTAGGGAACTCTAAAAAAAAAACATATGTTGTCTGGGCCATAGACAATATAGTTTGGGGGTTCGATGTAAGTATTTTATGCTTTTCCAATGTCAAAATTGTTAACAGAATCTCAATATACAAGACCTAGTTCTGGCGTTGGACGTTATGAATCCACATGTGGATGAAAAGGGATGAAAAAATACCCTTGGACTCACTTGTGGATCCTGATCCAAGTGAACTGAGGCTAAATATTATGTAAAGGAGAATATTGCTAGAAACTAGAAACCTTTGTTTATTGTTATTTTTTGTTGAAATATATAAATGCCGGCCATTTTGGGGATTGACATATTTAAAGGTATGAAAAAGTCTACAAGTGTCATTTTATTAACTCTTAACCGGTGTTGTGGGATCTAAATGTGCCCAAGAAATATATTGTTTCGAAATTTGAATTTCTTTTTTGAGTCACACCTCCGCGTTTTTTTTTTAATCTCATTACTATTACTAAATGTATGACAGTATTTATTAAAAACTTTTTGAAAGGTTAGGGATCCTAGGACCTCCGATACCAAATTATACACGTATTAAAAAGTGTTGGTGTTACATACGTAACTGAAATTATATGAAAAAAACAATCCCAATTTTATAAATTTAATTTACCCAAAGTAATTTTATGACAGGTAAATTGTATTTTTTTTACTGATTGGGTAATATATTATTATCTTATTTTATTATCAAACGAAATATTAAAAAATCATATCTAAATTTCATATCCGGCCGTTTATATGGATAAAATAATAAATTTTGTAGAATGTTTTAGTAAAAATTAAGCTTTTAGAGTGAATATATTTATATTAATAATTAATTTAGTTAACTATATAAGGTTTCATATATAACCTGTTGTTATTTGAACAATTTAATATTGTATTTACACATTTTTTCTATAAATGAACTATGTTAATTTCATATTATAATGTTGAAATCTTTAGCTATATTACTTTGAATATAAACGACAATAAATTAGTTATAAGATGTAAGAATTATGGATATTTTTTATACATTAAGTTATTATTATTGAATGTTTTAACATTATTAAGTTAAATTATAATGTTTCTAAATTAATATTCTAAAGAATTTGTAGTTTTTCAAGAATGTTCTACGAATTGGTTACGAAACGTTACGTTACGTGCCTACTGTAGGCAGATGTAATACTAGTCCAGTAGTTATTTAGATTATGTACCAAATATTAAATATAAATACATATTGACAATAATTCACTATTTGTATGCTAAGCCAACAACGTATAATTGATAATATATATTTGTATGTTAAAAAGGCTTTCAGCGACATATTTTTTTTTTTGCATTAAAAATAAGGTTGCAAAACAAATACAGATTAATAGCGATCTTAGATTTTACTTTCAATATATCACACAGAGTAATCTAATTTTAAACGAAGAAAAGTTTGTATTATGGATACTTGACAACTGATAGGAAGGCAATTTTTTTTTTTATAAGTAAATATTTTAATTTAGTTAAAATTAATATAATAGTTTACTCACATATATTTTTTATTAGTATAACTTTTATAATTAGAGTAATATAACTCTTAAAATAATTTAAAACGAAATATTTATACTTATATTTATTGGTAATTTATGACATAAATAACTACATATAACCAATAAATAGGATGCCTAATAATGTCATAAAGTATTTGGGTGAAAGTTTAGTCATCGACAACATTTCTCGGTATCTAATTAATATTTTTAAACAGACTTAAAAAAGAACGAGGTTCTAATTTCGATTGTATGTTCTTTTTTTAAACGTTTGTTACCTCATATTCATATGTCGGTTGTAAACCGGTTTGGAAAATTCTTTTTTTTTATCGGAAAGAGTATACTTATAGGCAAATCTCTATTATTAATCTGTAGTATAAGTTAGTGGTTTTCAAGCGACTTCAAAAAGTAAGAAGTTTTCAATTTAGTTGTATTTTTTTTATGTTTGTTACCTCATAACTCCGTCAGTTTTAAATCAATTCGAACAATTGTTTTTTTTAGCTTAAAAATACACTTACAGATTGATCATATATGAATTTTATCCAAATCTGTTAAGTAGTTTAGTTTTTCAATCAAATTCAAAATTGAAGTAGGGATTTTGTTACACAATTTAATTACTTCTTACACTTTGAATATACTATGTAAATTTGGACAATAAATGTTAGCGACTGGCTTCAAAGACGTAATAAATAAACAAAATATTCTGTAAGGTTCGATGTGATAATGATTGTTACCTTTTTGATTAATATTGCTAGACTGGGTACCATATTTACTCCCAACTGTACCTATGTAAATTTTATCACTGTTTTATAGTATATTCATATTATCTAATTGTTATAATAGGTACTGATTGAGTAGTTACTTAGAAATATCTATATCGTGTAAGGTAGTCTATTTTTTGCTAATAAGGGTTGTTAAAATATCATTTCTCTAAAGTTAAAAGTTTAACTAGAAATAATAATAAAATAAAAATTGTCGATGAATTTATTGTCGATATTTTTTGTTTTGTTATTTATTTAATTAAATTATTTGTCTGTATACATATAATAATTATCTGTATATGTCTAATGAAATGTTTTTATATATTTTTTTGCCTAAGTAACATTCAGTCATATTTTATTTTATACTTTTCAACTTTTTTTTTTAATATTTGTTGACACAAATGCATGGGATTATACAGGTGTAAGAGTCAGGTTGGCCAAAACGAAAACAGCTGATTTAGATGAATGGTTTGAATCAGATAACAGATTATTTTCCCAATGAAAATGCACAACAATCATATAATTAACGATTATTAGTTTTGACGTCGAGCAATGTATTTGAAAAAAAAATATAAAATTTTTCAGATAGAATTTCCACTAGTTTATAGTTTAAAAAAAGAGTCTAAATTTACTGTTTCAGTTAATGCCAACTTGTCCTTTACACTCTGTATACCTATATCGACATTTAATTATGTTGAGATGGAGGATATCGTGTCGTGGATGGTTGTATCAGCAAAAAATCGGTCTAAATTAATTATTAAATTATCTATAAGGTTAAGTCCATGGTTAAAAATACTACTCTCATTTACAATTATAGTTTTAATATATTAAGAATAAAAACATTAAGAATACTATTTTATATAAAATAGTATTCTTAATGTTTTTTGTTTAAATTATTGAAAATGCAAAAAGTTCATAATTTTAAAAGCAGATAATTATAATATTTTAATAATTAACTTTAAAAAAATATTACTTTATGAAAATATCAAATATAGTTAGACCTTTTTTCAGAAAAAAAAAACAATAGAAAAAGATTAGAGAAATTTTGATTATTATTAAAAAATTTAAATAATTTATACTTATAAATAAAAGTTAAAACATATCCTTTTATTCCATATCTAAAAAACTACTTCCAACATATCTTATTGTTGCAGTTTGCTCGTAGTATGATAAGTTTACATAATAATAATGAATTTTTGTTTGAATGAGTTTAGTTTATATTTTTAATTTAGTAATCTATCTGAAAAAAATTTTCATAAAAAAGGCTATTGACTAATAATTGTTTACAACAAGTTTCTATAGGAAAATTTTAATAAAATATATTTAAAAATTAATAATGTTTTCTATAAAACTTGTTTATGAAAAATAACTAAGTAAAACAATAGAAAATGGCAGCTGTTGTTAATTTTAGTACTTAAATAAAAAAAAAAGAAACCCTTAATATAGGTACATACTCGTATATTGTATAGTAAATACATTATCATAGTATGTAATTAATTAAAATAAATGAATATCAACACATTTAGGTAAGAACTACATTTTCACCATTTTCTTTCTTATTTTTCTTTTTATTTTTAACTGCACAGTGGCGCCCCAATGGTATGTAGGTTAATAATCACAATAACATTTAAAACAGTTCCAAATATTTTTTTTTTAATAGAATTTATATAAAAAAAAACATGTTTGGATACTTCAATGATCGGTCGACGTGAGAAGAGATCGTAATCATTTTGTATGAGGTCTCAGGTCCGTTTTTTTGTCGGTTCAATTCAAAAGATTAATAAAAGCGCGCCATTATTGCAACTGATTAGTTACAAGAATCCGTTACTATAAAATTGTAATACGTTTTACAGTAGGTAAATGTAAATCTGAGATTATCTTGTTGTCATTCGAACATATTTACGTGTAATTTTTACGATTCAAGTCAATTACATACATATAATCGATCATTTAATATATAAAATATAATAACAGTAGAATCTGCTCTGTGTTGCGTAGTGGAAATTAAGTAAAATATCTTATGCCTAATCGCACAATGAATATTAGACGTTATTTTATAAAGAACTTGGTCATGGGAGTCGTGCACGAATGATTTATTGTTTCAGTTTTATATTTAGTATGGATTCCACACATTGGCAGGTATTATATTGGGTCGAATAAGCACAGACATGTTTTCAAATTTATGTTCTAATATCATGTATTTTGAGTGTTTATTTTCGAACTTAATGTTTCGCTTTTTACATTATCATTATGGTTTTTTTAATGTGCGATACTGGAACGGTATATAGACCTGTGCTATCGGTATACACCGGCGGGGCACCAGTGAAAGATGATAGGTGAGGATGAAGTAGGTCAGTTAGCCCAACGTGACGAATTCAACGAGAATTGTTCACGATGGTTTCCAGGGGGAACTACGTGGACGTCGGGCATATTGCTAGCAATGGAGCTGTCTAACTCCATTGCTAACAATCCCTTTCCCCCTTATCTTGGTTGACATCAGCCATTTTTTGTCCAATGTTGAACATCTCCCATAGACTGCCAATAAGGAACAGTCCTGAGTCGACATAATAAATGAAATCGCCAATAAAACGAAATATACATGGATGAATAGATTTTTTAATTGTATTACTATTTAAATACGACGTTTAAGTTCTGTTGTAATGGACTATTATGTCTGTGCAAATAAGCCAATGTGTGGAATAGGCATTCGGAATGTGTGAATTTTAATGTGATATTTGGCTTCGTCCTGTTAAGGATTTAACTAAACTGCAAGTACTATAAAGCGAGAGTCGAGTAAGTCACACATATATATTAGCTCTTTTACCGCCCCAGTTCCATTTTTCCGACAAATATTGTCGTGCCGTTTTTTTTTCCGTTAATTTAATGACCTACTTCATTAACAGTGATTACTACAACATCTGAAACTGTTCTTAAATAGGAATTGTGTCGTAAAACTAATATTATGCCAATTGTCACTAGTTTCATATATGTAAACTAAGATTTAATGAAAATACTAGAAAATATACGATTTTTTTAAGTTACATATCAAATATTCGAGATATTTTCAATTAAATATTTTTTTTTTTATTATAAACGAAAGTATTTTATAGTAAATATCATAATTAACAGACAATAATTATTGAGAATTTATGCACAAGTTGTATTAAATAGGTACCTACCAAATAATAAAAGCATAAATCCCTTTTGCATATCTATTTATACATATCCCCTTTATATGTATATATATATGCGAACTTCGTGAAATTTTGCCAAAAGCTTAACGAAATCAGTACCTTACTTATTGCATTGTAGTTAATGGATCAACTGTCAACATATTTCCACTGTTGGTGTATTTAAGATTAATTTCCAAGAGACTGGCCTCTTAAATAAAGGCATTATTGTTCCTTTAGACGTGTTTTTTCGTGAAAAAACTGACCAGGGGGCGTTCAAGTATTATGTAAAGCGATTCGGGGGGAGGGGGGGTCTTGTAAAACGTTACGTTGGGCCATAGGAGCGGGAGGGGGGTTTAAACAATACGTTATGCAATATTTTTTTTTATTCAAATAATAAAACTAGAGAATTGAAAAAGAGCAATCTTCCAAGTTGGCAATTCTTTTCGTTTATGATTTACGGGGAATCCCTCGACATCATTTTTATTTTGTTTTCGTCGTCAGAATTAGTTAATGTCGTGATTTTTAAGTAAAACATTTCACTTGGATTACGTAACGTTTAGGAAGGGGAGGGGGTACAAAGAACTGTTACGGCTCGTTGTATAACAAGGAGGGAGGGTCGAAAATCTTCAAAAATTGCTTTATGTGATACTTAAACGTCCTCCAGATAATTAAGGTGCGCTCATAGCTTTACCGGTCCACTTTAGTGGCAGACTAACGAAGTGAAAGGACCAGAGGCCCGGCGGGCGGCCCCTTCCACCCCGAAAGGGGCCGCCAGCCGGGCCTCTGGTCCTTGGGGCCTCCAAACGTCTCTATTTCCCTCATCCATATTCATATTCTATGTATATTTAATTCTAATTTAAATGTCACTTGCAAAGTCTTAACTAAAGAAACATAAAAAATATACATAAAAATGTACTCGTACACTGAATAAAATTTTGCAAAATTAAATCAACTTCTCAAATTGGAGGCTTCATTCAGGTTTACGGCTCCGGTTCTCTGACGGGCTTAGTCCGCCATTGGTCCCCCTTAAATATACCTATGATCCTTACTCATTTTTTTACTGTACTATCATAATTTATACCTATTAGACATATAGGTATACCACTTACTTGGTGCTTAATTACCTAGGATCTGTTTGTTTGAATGCGCAGTTTATTGGTAATAATGTTTATATAATAAATACTTATATATCTAACATAATTATTGTGAATTTCGTTGGCATACTCGCTATCGACTTGTTGTTTCTGTAAGGTATATAATAATCTCTAACGTGTTGATGGTAAATAAAAGTTCTCGAAAATTCTGTTCGTTTTATTTAAAGTAAACCTCTGATACCTAAATAAGTGTAGATGTGGCAGCGGCAAGTTAATACATTCGCTGTTTTTTTTTTATGTGTGATAATGAAATAGTAACCCTGCCCGCGCTATCAGTATACACCGGCGGGGCACCAGTGAAGGATGATAGGTGAGGATGAAGCAGGTCAGTTAGCCCATCGTGACGAATTCAACAAGAATTGTTCACGATGGTTTCCAGGGGGAACCACGTGGAGGTCAAACTGATAGGGCATAGTGTTAGCAATGGGGCTGTCAAACTCCATTGCTAACAATCCCTTTCCCCCATACATTTGCTGTTAGTAGGCAGTTCAAAACTCACCTTTACTGTGACTATAGATACCTAACCATTTCTGGATCTTTAGTGTCCTAATTTATTGGACTAAGTTTTTCTCTATATGCAATTTTTTTTATACAACTTAGAATGGCGAACAAGCTGACGGCCCACCTGATGGAAAGTGGTAACCGTCGCCTATAAACATGAGCAGTACCATGGACATAACAGAGTATACCGTTTCGCCCATGTAACACATGGGGGGTATCTCCACGCGTTGCCATTCCTGAGGACTCAGGTGTTATTCTTCCGTAGCCAGTAAATTCACGCCATATCCCACCCTTTAAACCGAAACACAGCCATGCAAACACAACTGCTTTACGGTTGAAACACGAATGGGACTAAGGTACCCAAGCAATAGACTTTTGTACAGTCTCCCTCTATCTATACTATCCATAGAATATAAAATTTTAAATAGTTGAAACAGCTCGATGAAGGACGTGACATATTTTGTAGGTACATTAGATTGAAGACATTTTGAACATGAAAGTATGCGTCTATAGTATACTTAGATATTGCATTGCAAAGAAAAATTACAGTTTCAATAATCGTCCAATGAGTATGAACACGACACAGGCGTAAACTTTACAGAGTGCACGAAAATGAAAAACTCTTTTCTCGATGTCGCAAATAAAATTAAAAACGTTTTTGTAATTTTAAAATGATTTATTTAATTAATATCTAATCGTTACAGAGCTATGCTAAGATGTTACAAAATAAAAACCAGTCTTCTTATGTTCTGTAGGTACAAAAATAAACTTTACATATAACATGTTTCAATAGCATGTCTACAACATGTTGAAGTCAAAACAATGTTGCCACAGTGAATAATTATTTCGATAATGTGTGAAGTATACGGGCCATCAGTATATATATATATGTCATATGTATATATATATATATATATATATATATATATATATATATATATATATATATATATATATATATATATATGCAGACCCCGAAGAAATCCTTTCAAGGACAATTTGATGTTATTTTTAGAAAAACCTCGCCAGAAATATGGCAACATTACATTTTAAGGTAACAGTGATATAAAGCAATCTGTGTCATATATTAAAATATATATAAACACTTTAGACATTAATTGGAAGTAGCGATGCGCGACTTTACTAATCCGACTACTCGACTGAGAAAATCATTCGGATTATTAGTATGATTTGAAAATAAATCGTCTACTAATGTCAGCCGATTACTAATGTGGTCTGATTACTAATGAATGAAATTAGTAGTCATTGATGTACGAGTCGACACGAACATAGCCGAGTCGACCCGATTGTTAGAATGTTGCCATGTAGTTACCATTATATTGACATGTAGTAACTAATTTATAATGTTAACTGTAATTAATTTGTAATGTAATTTTTATTTTATAATTCGAATGTTATTATTTTATTAATTTCAAAATTATAATGTTAAATATTGAATTGCCATTGTGTGACGAAAACTGTTACATTGGTTAATAAAGAAATATAATATCTTTTTTTTCTGTAATGGGAAGAAAGTTGTAAATTTAAATTTAGTAAAAATTAACAATTTTCGATAAAAGTAAGTTTTAGTAAAAATGTAAATTGGAATAGTTATTATTAAAGTAAACAGGAAAGTAAATAATTATTATGTATATTAAGAAATTGATTGAAGGCAAAAGAAGAAGAGCAAGACCGAGGAATGACTACATGGAACAGATAAAAGAAACACTAGGTGTCATGTCATATAGGAGAGTCAAGGATATGGCCTGGGATAGAACTGGCTGGAAAAAAATGGACGAATTAATTGCACCGAAAAGAGAAAATTCTTAAATGAAAAGAGAGAGAGAGAGAGAAATTGATGTATAGATATTTTTTTTCGTCATCGTTATCGTCCATATAGAGACCTAGTAGTAGTGGATGCAGGAAATGGACTTGGTAGTAGTAGATAAAAGGACTTTGTTGTACTAATTAGTAAAATCATTCAAATACGGATATTAGTATATTACTAATTACTAAGTAGAATTATAAAATTAGTAATTACTAATTATTCGATAAACAAAATTAATCGGTTTCGCGCATCGCTAATTCGAAGTGTTGTTCTTCCATTAATACAGGTGAATTTAATTATAAATGTATATAGAGAAAATAAAAAGAAAATTATAATAATAATGATTAAAACAAATAAAATCGATTTACTTTGTCACAATATTTAATTATTTCCATTTATAGAACTAATCAAGTTTCAATTAACCGACCGGGGTTTAACTGACTTAACTGAACACCTGAATAATCTGATTTAAATGAAATTTGTAAAAGTTGCCATTGAGAGGTAGGTGTTCAATTTTTTCTCGCAGAAAATATCATAATTTATTTTTGAGTGTTAATTTATAACACAACTTTTCAGTGATGCAATATTTTAAAATTTCTATCGAATCAGATAGATAGATAAATAGACACTATCATTTGATTTTATAAAAAAAAAAAAAAATTGTTATTCTATCGTTCCATTATTTACAATTTAAAAAATTGGCAATATTGCAACTTTTTTCTCTCACTCATTAAAATGCTGTATACAAATACCATATTGCGCAAATAATTAGAAATTTCTCATGTTTAAGAATACTCATTTCGTCATAGTCGTAGAATACTGACGGATCTGACGAATATTACATATAAAGTTCCGTCAGTATTCTACGACTGTGACGTTTTAATTCCTGCGGATATCTATCAACAAGAACTGAGCTTATATTTAATGTCTTATACATTACGTTTATTTCAGATAAATATTATAAGTGATATAATTCACAAATGGATTTGAAAATGATTACCTAGCATTTGATATAGACAATGCCTAAAAACATATTGCTTGCGAACCGTAATAAATTCAGTCATTTTAATGACATAGTATCATAAAATACTTTTTGAACTAAACATTTTATATAAACCTAAAAGTAGCAAACACTAGGTTTGAGTATCGCAGTTCGAATTTACCACTTCAGTCTCAGCCTTCTTAAGTTTCTTAGCTCGTATATCCGCCATAGTTTGTTCTATAGACCTCTGGTCCTTTTTGTTTTCACTGGGCACTTCACCGTAACTCTTATTTACATTGGTCTTTTGCGCTGCGTCGATAGCCGCCTCTTCTCCTATAAGATGAGCATATTTCTGTTTATAAAAGGTCCCACTCAATTCTTCTTTACCACGTTTACGCTTTCTCGTCTTTTCTTCTTCGTACTCTAATGCAGCTTGTTTCTGCATTTCTATATGTCTTTGTGCCATTTCTGCAGCTTTCTCATCATCCCATATGCCTCCAGCTCTTCGCACTGTTAATTCATCCTCAGACGGACCCTTTTCTTTGGTGTATACTACGGAATACCGATCAATGCCCTCTTGTCCAAAGGAAAATACCTGTACACCGGCAGTTTCTGCTATGTCCCTAATAATAGATCGGTACATTTGGTCCATAGGTTCGAACTGCAGAAACGGTTTTGTACCATCTTTAATGAAATTACTAATTTTCTCTTCAACCCGTTTTCTAAACCTGTTTATCATATTCTTCTCTTCTTTTTGTTTACGTTCCATAGCTTCTTTCTGCTTCTTCATAGCATTCTTTTGTGCTTCGCTAGCACTCGGTGGTTTTTGCATGGAATTCAAGATAGAATCGAGAAGATCCATGTTTAAATTTGGTTTTCAGAACAAAATGATGTGTAAGCTAAAATCTCTGAAATGCGTCTTTGCCAATCTGTCGTAACTTTAAAATTGTCGAACAGTGGCTCTGTGTTTAGTTCCTTGAAGGATATTATATTTAAGGATGTGTCAATTTGTGCTTGTATTTGACTTGCAAAAGTTATGGTGTCCTCTGCAAACTCAAGCAATTGTTTCAAAGGTGGCTGAAGAGGAGTACCTTTTACTAGTGGTGAGGTGGGCTCTAAGTCGGTTTGTTTGCAACTTTCAAGAAGAACTTGCTGTTTGTTAAGAAGTTTTTCAAACAAATCTTCAATTGTGGAACTGAAATGTATAAAACAGATGTACTAATAAATATTCATTATCAAAATTAAAACTAGATAATAAAATTATTTCAATGATATAATGTGCTTATTATTAGGTTTATATAACAGATATAAGTTCAGTATATAATACAGTAAATTAATATAGTAACCCTGGGGGGGTAAGGGATTGTTAGTAATAGAGATTGAGAATCGCTAGCAATATACCCAACCAGGTCAACCTCCTCGCGGTTCTCCCTGCAAACTATCATGGTTAATTCCTGATGAATTCATCATGATGGGCTAACTGGCCTGTTTTCATTCTCATCTATCACCCTTCACTGGTGCTCCACCAGCGTATCCTGTTAACACAGGTGTGTTATCATTTCATTTTTACCAAAAAAAAAAAGAAGTAAAACTGTTAAATAACACTGTGTTTCACAAAAAGAAATGACAAAAAAAAATATTAAAAAAAAAACTAAACTAGTGAATCAATTTTGATAAATATCCTTTCAGGTAAAAAATAATTTTTCAAATGTAACATGTAATTGGGATATGTTTACTGATCAGAATAAAAATGTAGCCTGTATCCTTTTTCACTCCATATAGTATACATACATACATACATATCTGTCACGCCTGTCTCCCATTAGGGTAGGCAGAAACAATGGAACGCCAAATGCTTCTATTCAAACAAACCTATTTCGCTTCTTCCACATTCATCAATCTTTTCATACACACTCGCAGTTAGGGGTACTTTTATAGTATGTGTATAACAAATTCCATAGGGATTGAATAAGACATTAAGGCAAATAATCCCATTTCCATATTGGATAATATTAGGATAATAAGAATGTAAGTACTTACAGTTTACTCTTTATCACTTTTATTTCATCCGAAATCAAGTTATGCAAAATGGAAGCCAATTTGCTCTGTAGATCCACAAATTCTTCTAGAGGAGAACCTGTCACTTCCGCTCTGAAATAATATTATTATTAACTTTTAACAATACTAATTAAGGCATTAGGCAATTAAGGCATATACTACACAAGATGGGTCTATCTTCGGACACACTGTGCAGACTGTGCAGGGAGAAATCGGAATCCATGGAACACTTGATGTGCAACTGCGATTCGTTGGCAAGTACGCATATGAGTCTACTGGGAACGGCTTATCCAGAACCAGGTGACTACAGATATCTTAAACTGCGGGACATCGTTAGAGTAACACATAGGATGTATGAAATTATGGTATAAGGCAGGGGGAAGCACAAAAGATCCATATGGGTCGACGTGCATCGGCTTAGTTGACCCCATATGTGAAAAATAAGATAACTTTTAACAATATTAATAGTTTCATAAGGGCACATAATATTTAACTCGTTACTTTGGCGAGCTAACAATAACTTTAATATTATTTCTAAAACTCTTGATATAGATCTATTTTCGGAAAATATAATATCAGTGAGAGGCCAACTGAGTAGGCAATTTTTTTATTCTTAGACAGTTTGAATAAGTATTGTATGGATAAGAAGGCCATATTTTAATCAAATATATACATTTAATTGTTACTTTGTATTTTAGTCATTATTATTTATTTTATTTTTGTCTTTATTTCTCTTGTTTGTTCCTATATTTTTTTTGTTAACTCCTATTTTTGTTGTTTTGTGTACAGCACCTTGTATCTATATTGTTGCTACTTGTGTAAACCTATTAGTGGCTTATTTTGTGATCCTAAACTGTATCTTTTTGCTCTAGTGTAGCCCTGGTTTTCCTATGAATAATGTAATAATTACTTGTTTAACTTATGTGTAATTAGATTAAGAAAGTTCAAATAGTTTCGGGATCAATTCATTATCCATATTCATGAGCGGCCATGACACTAGTGTGTACCAAACTTTACTCAAAAATATATACTTAAAAATATTATTATGCTTACAGACCATTTAGAATAGAAATAATCTTTATTAAAATAGACTTGTTTACAAACACTTCTTAATCATAATTTATTATGATTCTATAGCTTTATTCGGAATGTTGTTATTTGCGGCGAACCCACAAGAAAATGTAGTTAGTCATTTTAATTCACTTATGTATATGATAATTTTACATTTGTATGGGTACTGTGACTATACTTTGATTTATTCAATAAGAAATAAACATAAAAAACATGGGCAGTACAATACTGTGTTATATTAAGTAGCAGCACTCATTCACAAGACGGAGTTACATATTGGTATATACACCATCAAACATGGTGAGCATGGGGAACATCATGTACCCTATAACTGCAATAAACCACCCCTAATGGTATCCACCGACTATATAATTTATGTAATAACATAGTATTTTTATTCACATTCACTTTTAATTAAATTTAAGTTCGTAAACATTATGGTTAAGATAGAAAGACATAAATGGAGATCTTTAAATTCCTATATCATGACGACCGCCATCAAATCTAATCAAAACCTATCAAGATATAGGTAAGATAACATTGTTTTCAATGCTATATGAAGAAAATCAAATACAGGTTATAAAGCGAGCCTAAGTACTATAGCACACGATTCACGTGATCTTGACAATGCATTACTAGACAAAAAATACTTAAAGTGTAATATACTTACTGTTTTATGTTTTTGCAGCGTTTTATAAGCTTATTTATAGTCACTGCGCACTCTTGGCAATCTTTCAAACACGTTTTGGAAGTGACGAAAAATTCTTCGAAGAATGAAAAGTAATCAATGATTTGTTTTTGTATTTTTTCTGCCATTATACATAATTAGATCCATTACGATGTTGTTAAAAACGATTGTTTAGGAAATGATACTAAATAGATGTTTTTTGAATAAGGAGTTAAACAATAAAACGCATAAAATTATAACTTATACGTTTGTCAAACGAATATGGAATGACATACTGACAGAACGATATCGGTTGACATGACAATGACAATGACCTGGCAATTTGACATAAACTTTGCTTTCCAGTTTCTAGGAAGAGTTATGATTTGTTTTTAAAATAAACTATATAAATATTTTATACATACTGTATAAAAATCGTAAGTTATTATAACAACAGATATTAGCGAAGTATTATTATTTTTACATTATAACTGTTAGTAAATTACGTGCAAAGTTTTCTTATAAAAAATTGAACGTGTCAGACTTCATAAATGTTATGTGCATTAATCTATGGCAGAGTAGCGTCGCATATGCTGTGAATCGAAAATTCTGAAAGAAACCGGATTTTTTAATTATTTTTAACATTATTTTCTATCGGTAGTCAAACATAAAACATTTGTTCATTGGTGATAAAAACGCTTTACTTTTATTATAGAAATAAATAATTATTCAGTACATTCACAAGATCTTTTCGTCTTCAGTCGGCTCGAATCGGTTTAATTCGGCCACCGGTCGATTGCATTCGGTTAACTGTCAAAAAATGAACCAATGCTCGATCTGACTGAATACAAGAAAAAAAAATATTAGTCTCGGTATTGTATTGACGGGAGAAGTACGTTTGTTATTTCGGCTAAAATTTGTTCCGATACAAATACGTCATTGGTTAAAATATTACACTAAGTAAAAGCAATATTTTATCACTTAGAGGATGTTGTAAGATGAGTGTAAATAGTGTAATTAAATTTGAACGTACAGCTTAAGTTGTGTCCGAAGTGAAAATGAATGGTAAATTGCACAGTGAAACCGGTGCTTTCTCATCTGACGGCATGCGCGCCGAAATATTGAACCCTTTCGTGCATAAATTGGAACTAGATAATACATACGACAAAATAAAGGTACGCAGATTATCACGTTCACATGTGTTGTGCTTTTATACTAATAAAAACATAAATACAGATTAAGTTAAATATTATGAAAATGCACATGAACCCATTTGCGCAGACTCGTATCTCCGATCCTCAAAGAAATACGAATGTTCATTATTAAATAATATGCAGGGTCATGAGATTTTAATATTTTATTAAATATACCTAAATCCTAAGGTTATCGACAGATAAACAGTTAAGATGTTTTATTAATAAATTTTGTTCACTTATTTATTTGCTAAATTCAAAAGTTTCGATATTCTTCAATATTTCTCATCTGTTTTGCTTCGCCTATGTGTTGTATATAATAATGCGCTCTACTAACAAAACGAAAGAGGAAAAGGAGAAATTAGAAATTCATGCCATTTTAAACGACGAGCTTCGTTGCGGTGCTAATAAAATAAGCAAATGAAGATAGTTCACAGTATGAATAAGTAGTGTATGAACTAAACATCTTGATGTTAACATGAAATAGAAAATATTAGCACTGATAAAGGAAAATATAAGAGACGACAATACAAGATAATTAAGCAATGGAATAATCATATTCCACTGTATATGGTACACCTGTTATAATATATTTATTAAAGTCTGTCCTATTATAAGACTTTATTAGCAAGCCCTATAGATGACTTCTAAATAAATTCGGATAAAATCGATGAAAACAAGAGAATAACATTATAATGGAAATATGTACGTAAATCTCGATATTTTATGTAGAAAGTAAGTACTTACTACTTGTAAGTAGAATCGTTATCAAATATAACGTTACAACATAATGACTGCAGAATAACTGTTAAATAAAAATGAAATGTTAATTGGACTGCATGAAATGGAAGCAAATGTGTCACTTTTTCCTGACAAAAAAAAATTATCTAATGCGATAAAAGTCGTAGAAGTGCAAATAACGTCATGTAATCTTATAGAATCCATGACGTTAAAAATTGCATTAAAGAATTTATAAAGAAATCTCGTATGGGAGCATATGGAGATAAATATTCAGTTGTTATGGGAGGTTTAGAATTATTTGCTGATTTCGATCCATATTTTTTGGAGAATGTACTCAATACGGTAGAACACTCCCGTAAAAGCATGTTAATGATTGTGGATTTCACTTTGTATAACGGAATTGACATTATGTCTTAGAGTTTATTAGCATCATATTGCTGAGATCTATATGTTAAAATGTATCGTAATATACAGTGAAATTTTAGACGAGTTACCTCTCTCAAACTCTTAAGATGTTTATATGTACATGTTTCTGATCTTTTCCCTACATACAATAGCATGATATTCTTCAAAATCAGTAATCATGTTTCTTAATTACCAGCTATGCCTGTATATAACCTCTGGTGATACAGCCGTTTAAACTTAAAAAAAATCTGTAACACGATGTATTTGACCTGAGACTAAGAATCTTAAAAACTTGGTAGAGTGTCTTAATCTTAGAGTTCTAGTAATAATAAATTTCGTTATAAGTAATTTAAAAAAAAAAAGCGAAGGCATCGTTAGCATGACGTGATGAATCGTTTATAATTATTACGATGCTAGATTGATCTATATTGCAGTGAATGGAGAGATTATTGAATTTTTTTTTTTTGTCTGAACTGAACAGGACTTTAATTTGTCTGGTGATTTAAAATTTTCAGTAAAAGATCCAAAGAAAACAAAAAGAAGCAAATGAAATTGGCTTCTAAATGTTTGTTAAAAGCATTTGCGGTCATTCAACTTTGATAATAATTGTTCTTAATAAATGTTTTTATGACACTTTTTATTCATTCAACGCATAATAGTTAATTGTATGCGTGCAACTTTATAGATGATGTATGCAGAATAAATAAATCCGATTGCCAAATACTATACGTGGCTTCACAAGACCTTTTCTTGGCATGAATGTGTACTACTATGAATACCAATACAACTAAACCTTGTTACAAATATAGTATCACGTCCTTAATGAATGGCCAATCTCACATAACTTTTTGATTTTGAATTCTACTATAACGTCTATTTAAAAATTCCAAATATAATAGCAAATGTTAGTTAGTCTGAATATGACGTTATAAGTCCTTTAATAACTTCATGATATTTAGATGGATACGAGTATTTTATGCAATTGTACAATTTAGAGATCTCGATTGTCGAAAGTGACTTGTCCCTTATATAATTTACCATCTATCTGGTGCAAGTTAAGTCAGTCTGTATCTCTCCCTATATCTCGTACTTTCCACTTTCGCATGCTAACCAACTGCTGTTTTGTTGTACTTTCATTCGATATTATTTCAACAAGCCCAAACCACTGGTAGGTATGCCCTTTCACAGTTTTACACAGACACTTTCATAACTTGGTAGCACACTGTTATATTACGTACATAATCTTTTTTTTTTTTCTTTATTTAGGTCAACAAACAGGAAACACAATAACAATATATATACATATATATCTAAATATCAATAATTTTAGTGTCACCAAAGATTTTGGCTCCTATTACTATAAAACAAAATATGCAAAATGGTTGTGTGCAACTACTTGTACAAAATCAAACATATACACATACATAAATGACAGAAATATAAAGAGGTGCGTACCAGTGATCCACTCAAAATCAAAGAACTTCCAAATTGATGTTATATATTTTAAAAATTAAAATTTATTTACCAGCTTCTTCATCTTCAAATTATAATCAGATCAGATATAGGTACATGAAATCTGATGTAATGATAATTTTAGTCAATGTTAGAAACTTATTTCGCCAAGGCCGAAACAAATGATTAAGAGATTGCCATTTCATTGACGGCTGTCTATGTATATTCAACGCCTACTTAGATATTTTGGGATGAATGTAAAGCTCGTTTAGTAATGTAATATTATGAGCCAGCAAGCCACTTCTGAGATAGCATATGAATTGTTTAATATTAGTTTTGAAACTTATCACTTTTAGACAAGTTTATTTTTTTCTATAGTTTGATAAAGTTACTGTAATATTTATTCGCGTATTTAAGATTATTTTCCAGGACGGCCTGATCTTTTAGCAAAGGCGCATACTCTCAGACTTGTCTTTGCAAAGTTTCGTGTGTGCATCAGTCATTTCTGGATTGGGCACGGATTACCTGGCTCCCTCTAAACATGCCTATAATAATATGTGAATAACAAAAAAGAATTATTCCTTGAAATGTATTGATACATCAAGCATTAGATATTTCTAAAAGTTATAATATACATATGTTATTGTCCTATATATTAGCAAGAATCTAAACCACGCCAATATGTTATACAAACTTAAATATTGATCGTTGCGAACAAAATATTTGTAGCGTATGAAAATCGTACAAAGGATTCCTAAAGTATGATAATATATTACATACATATGGATAATATATAATAAGTTTTTAATATTTTTAAACAACTACAGAAAATGTAGATTGAAAACGTATGTATATGTATGTGTCTACGTCCAAGTATGTATTTGTGTGTTACCGTTATGACTTGGCCATTGATCTAATTAATACGTACACATCCAAGTATTAAAATATGATGGTCATATCACTGACCATAACAAATTGAACAACTACGACAGGTTCATCGCTCTAGAAGTGGTAAGAACAGTTAGCCGTACATCATTGAGAGAAAGTATGTGGATATATCACAATTTACTAAAGTCGTACGCCGCCCATTTCTAGAGATTAACACGAAATCTGTGTTTGGAACACAATGAAGGTAATAGCAGTGTTTTGAACATCGTGTAAAATGTTCAAAAGATGTATGTATGTACCTCTTGAATTTATTGTGTTCTGTGGACACATACAAGCAAATTATCAAATTATTCGTGCAAATTAAATATTAAGAAATATATTTAAATATTTTCCTACAAGATTAAAAGTAATTCCACAGTATTGGATGTGAGAATTCCATGTAATGTAATTTCGTTTGATGATTTTAGATTCGGTATTTGATATACAAAAAATATGGCCTTAGCTTGTATCTGTTCTACATTTGACAAATCAGCAAATCATGATATTTTTAAGATTAGACCCGGTAATAAAATGACATCGATTCATCTATTAGACATTCAGTGATCGAATAATTTAATTTAATGACGACATAAATTCTATAGGTAAATAACAAAAATGTTTCATTTCTAAATCTTGGAATGGCAAAGGAAATTTGTTGTCATAACAGAAACAAATGTAGGTATTGTTATAAATGCGAACATAGACAATTTACATCATTATGTGTAATCTAATATACTTTTCTACAGTATAGAGCACTAATTTAATATAATTTTGGATGTAACTAGAAGATAGATTTTTTTTTAAACTCTCACGTCATTCATACAGTCGTACAATATTGTACCTTACAATTTTAAGTTTTGATGCAATTTTGTAATTTCATACGTGATGATAATATAGATTGTTCTAGTATCACGCAATATAGTGTTTACTGTCTCTGGAGAAATTTCTAGAGAAAAATCCACATCAGAGACGTTCGTGAACAACGAACGTAGCCTTGAAACTCTTGATACAAGAGTGCAGCATCCTCAGACGAATAGTATTTGGGATAGTAGTCGAAAATAAGCAAGCAAACTCCCCTATCTCTTGCATTGAAACTACTCAATGATATTTTGAGCCAGTATCCGCAATTGCATGTATTTGCCTCCAACTTGCTGGAATTTCGTCGAGTGACCACAGAGTATTTGTGTTTAGACGTTTTTTGTTTGAGTTAAATGAAAAAAATGAAAATGAAAAATGCTTTCCTGGGTAAGCGTATTGGAATATTGTAAGGATGACCCAGTGAATGTAATAAATAAATAAATAATTAAAAAGTCAAATAAATCTGTTGCAGCCGTTGAAGTTTTCATTACTTTCTTTCGAGTTAGATTCTTATAAAAAGAAAGTCACAACACTGGATTATTGAAAGCCTATTACTAAGACTTATCAGACCGGAGAATTTTTATAATACCTACTCTTTTATAATGTTCTTTAGTACAGCTAGTACTCATATAAATATCTTTTCATAAATATTCACCAAAATAAATATTTCTTTTATTTTTTCTTTTTTTTTTATACAACTTTGAATAGTAAACAAGCTGACGGCCCACCTGATGGAAAGTGGTAACCGTCGCCTATAGACATGAGCAGTACCATGGACATAACAGAGTATACTATTTCGCCCGTGATACCCCCCATGCGTTGCCATTCCTGAGGATTATCATTGTTGTATTATTTTAAACATATGCACAACTAGCGATCGGTCCGGCTTCGCACGAATTAATAGAATTTTCAAAAATAATATATAACATATGTTACTCAATAAATCAATTAATCTAATTCCTTTTTGCAAGAAATACTAGTTAATATGATGATAACAGATCTGATGATACAGAAAGATACAAAGAATATGCCGGATTTTAACCCATAGGTGTGCAAAATTTAAACAAAAAGATTGGGGTTATAATTCTTACTAAGTATACTCGGTATTTAAAATTTATACTTTTTGATAATGCAAGTACCTATGGATGAAAGAATTTTTAAAATCTGTTGAATAGTTTTTGAATTTATCCTTCACAAATAAACAAACAATGAAACCTATTTGTGATATTAGTATAGATATATATTATAATACGACCAACAGAAAATAATACAAGAAAATTCCTATTACTTTAAAATAGGGTAGAAGCAGTATAAGAAGTAAATGAAGTCATTATTTCAGCTATATATGTAGTGTCCATTGCTGTACATAGATCTATTTGATCACGTATCTTTAATAATGATTTATGAGTTACGAATTTTAATTATCACTGCTTAACATCTAGTATTCTTTGTTTCAGACGGCGATATTCACAGTGATACTGCTGCCTTTTAGAGTAATAGTAATATGTTATCTGATAGTCAACGCCTGGATCCTTGCATATATCGGCCTTTATGGCCTCAGTGAGGAAGACTTGAGAAGAAAACCTATGACCGGATGGAGAAGGTGTGTCTAAACTATGTAAAGTACAATAAGTTTTTAAATGAATTCTATGTTTTATATTTTTATTCAATTAGGAATATGAAAAAGTTTTAATGTTCAGCGACGAAGGAAGACAGTTTAAGGCAATGAAGTTACTTTATTATAGATGAACTGTCGTGACTTACTTTAAAGTTGTCGATTGCAAACTATTACTGTTTTATATTGTGCTCATAGTTGTCTGAAATATTATTATTATAATTATATTAAGACCTAAAAAAAAGCAGAAAGTGATATCAAATAGAAAACAATGCTATCATTCTCGATTGTTTTGAAGCTGATAACAGTATATGTTTTGGTCAATGACAACGGATACCTTAATTTATAATGACAATGCTAAAAATTACATATTTTGAGACTGCATAATTAGGAAATGGTTCAAGGCGCGTTTTAAACAATCGTTAAACATACCGTGAAGGTTTCTGTCTAGTGCATTGAATTTGGTTGCAACGGTCTTAATTTTTTTTTTTTGCTTTAATAGCGTTCAAAGTCATATACTTTATTAGAGCTAGGTATTTCATAATAACACAATTTCATTATTTTCAATTACAAAATTAAGTATTTTGTTAAAGCTATTGCTAAATAAGTATAGTAAAAAAATCGTTGGATTCTTTAAACCTTATGAAAAACATTGTGTGTAAAAACACAGTTGAGATATTTTTTTATTACTATTATATCAGTCGAGAAATGCCCACTGCTGAATATAGAACCCCTAATTGTGGGAGCCCTATTAAGGATTTTGTCAGTTGTTGCCACGCTTGGTAAGCGGGTTGACAACCGCAGTTAGACTTTGACAATGTTTTAAGAGGGATGCTGTTACCCATTCCGGTTGAGACATAAACGTGATATAATTCTGATGAATGATGATATATATATATATATATATATATATATATATATATATATATGTGTGTATTATTATAATATTACATAACTATATTTTCATTTCTTTAACGTAAATGACAATATCTTTTTCGTTAAAGTGAATGCATATATATAACTAGGTAGGAACATAAAATTTCTCTTTAATGAACTGGAAAGTAACTAAGTGAAAAAAAAAACTGCAGCAGTTAATGCATTTAGACTTTCATTGCAAATACGTGTCTGATGCGTTCTAAATGTAGAGCGATGGTTGACAGTTCCACGTTGGCCTTGATGACACTACAACGTTCTTGAGGTCATATTCTATTATGAAGCTGTGTAACGTCAATTCAATAGTTTTGCTATTAGAAGATTAATGTTAGAATGTTGGCATGAGTCTGGATACATGACATTGGTCGAAACAAAAATAAAAGAAAATTATACTGATATTTTGCAACGCTAATGTTACTTCATTACCGGTATTGTTGGAAAGTATCGGTTTTTGGACAATGCATGTATCAAGGTTTATGTTTTTATTTTGTTTTTTTTTTTTTTTTACTATAGATTATATTTCTTTTCACGCATTGTTAAGATATATTTAGAATTTATAAATCATTAATTTATCCTCTTGACAAAGAAACGGTGTAGGGAGAGGTACATAGGTATATAAATTTCTAAGTACCTATTTCTATGGCAAGTAGCTAGGTATTTACGTAATTCTTATTATAAATATGAAAGCGAGTTTGTTGTTATGAAATTTGCTATATGTATACATAGTATTTGTTATGAAGTTATTGCTTTATTTTAAATCAATTATATCTAGGTATTTCGGTCACGCGGTAAATACAAAAAAACAAATCGCTTGTTTTTTATTGATTTTTTATTTTTTACGTCGTAATCATCGCCCCTACCATCATCATCATTATTATCATTATCACATTAGCCGTTAACTGTCCACTGATGAACATGACCTCCCCCATAAAGTTGTTATTGCCAGTAGTTGTTTACCAGAGGGAGACTTTGTACAAAAGTTGATTGCATGGGCCTGGTCCCATTTTTTCAACCGTGATTGGTTTGCATAGAAATGATGGGTGAATTTACAGGGTACAGAGGAATAACATCTGCCCGCGCTAACATGGGAAACGGTATGTTCATGGCGGGCGACGGTTACCACTTTCCATCAGGTGGGCCGTCAGCTTGAAGGGTGATAGATGGGTGAGAATGAAAACATACGTTGGCGGAGCACCAGTGAAGGGTGATAGATGAAAATGAAAACAGGCCAGTTAGCCCATCATGATGAATTCATCAGGAATTAATCATGATAGTTTCCAGGAGGAACCGCGAGGAGGTCGACCTGGTTGGGTATATTGCTAGCAACGGGATTCTCAGTCTCCATCACTAACAATCCCTTTCCCCCCTGGCAGGCGGGTTGGCAATCACAGTTAGGTTTTGGTGAAGTTTTAACAGGGACGGTGCAGTCCATCTCTCGACCGTTTAGTACGTCATATCTTCACCTATTTCGAACCGGTTTCGATAACTATTTTTGTAATCGATAGGCCGTCGTACTCTCGTTTTAGACCCATACTTTTTTATGGTTAAAATTTGGATGGTAATCCCGCCTGCGCTATCGGTTTACTCTGCAGAGGCGCTAGTGAGAGATGATGGGTGAGGATGAAAACAGGCCAGTTGGCCCATCGTGATGATTTATTAATAATTGAAACCACGATTGCCGTGTGGTCCCGGCATAGAATAGGTCATTTCTTCCTTTCCCGCGGGTATCGTAAGAAGGGACTAAGGGAACTTAATGGTCATGGAACAGTAGCGTCTGTCTTAAAAAATCACCAAATCCTATCTGCAGTTGCCAAGCTGCTTGCCAAGCGTGGCAACTGTTGAAAATAATAAGCTCAGTTGGATGAATAATAAAAATGTCTATATTATGTGAAGTTTAGAAGAGAATAGCTAACTGTCATAAATTATTATATTGTTATATTTTTGTATTTAATATTTTGATTATAGAACATTAATAAAAACGACTATAGAGTTTTTACAACATATCCTCCCGTAATCAAAATATATATATAACAAAAATATTACTTAACAAAAATACTGGTACAAAAATAACAAGATAAAAGGTTACCCAATGCCCATATTCGTCATACATCGTAAATGCTTAACATGACCTAAAGGTTTTGTCAACTACTGGCATGGGGTGTGCCTTATGGTGGAGGCCTTTGTTCAGGAATGGACAGTTAACGGCTGATATGATGATGAACCACGATGATTTCTAGGGGATCCGTGTGGAGGTCGACCTGAGTACATTGCTAACAATGGAGCTGTCAGATACTGTTACTAACAGTCCCCTCCCACCCATTAGTTCCATAATAAGCTTGCCTCAGTTTTGTTTCTTTTTCACGCAGCAATTTGATAAATTAAAATTATTAATAATATATTAATTATAAAGTAAATGAATGATTTAGTCAGATTGTTTATGCAACAACAGGTACCAAGCCGAGTCACCAAATTAAAATGTCTTTGCGTTGACTTGTTTTTATTAATTAGATAAGTAATATTAAGTATTTACGTTACCTACTTACTTTACGATTAAAATATATATGTACTTATCTGGCTAACTTTATCACTCAAGTAACTGGGTAGTGTCACTTTAATTGTTTATATTAATTTTATATTCACCGTGTGATACCGGCATAGAATAGGCCACCCCTTCCTTTCGCGCGGGTTTCGTAAGAGGCGATTAAGGGAGGGCGAGGGATGGGCAGCAGCGTTCCTCTTAAAATAACTCTAAAGCCTAATTGCGGTTGCCAATTCGCTTGCTAAGCTTGGCAATTACTGGCAAAACCCCCAAGGGAGAGGCTTATGTCCAGCAGTGGATATTTTTCCCGCGACTTGGTCCGCGTGGTCGGAATATGATGATTGTCTGAGATAAAACAAACTTATGTCCCTCTCTATCTATGATAGTGACGTGTATACTAAAGTGTATATCTTCCCTCACTCGTACAGAGTAAACCGTAAGCGCAGGCGAAGTTACCTTTGCATTATCAGCCAATAAAAAAAATATTTTTTTTATGCGACTTACAATGGCAAACAAGCTGACGGCCCACCTGTTTGAAAGTGGTAACCGTCGCCTATAAACATGAGCAGTACCATGTACATAACAGAGTATGGTGTTTCGCCCATGATATTGCCATTCCTGAGGACTCAGGTGTTTTTTCTCTGTACCCAGTAAATTCATTGCCATATCCGGTTCTTCAAATCGAAACACAGCCATGCAAACATAACTGCTTCACGGTTGAAACACGAATGGGACAGAGGTGTCCACGCAAACGACTTTTGTACAAAGTCTTTCTCTGGTAAAATATGAAGTATGCTATTAATTTGATTAGATTAAGTTGTTAAGGCGCCAAAACTTTCACGTTTATTAAATCAGTAAGGATAAGAATTGTTATATAGCTATGTTATTTAATACATATTTATGATTTCGTATATTAAATTATCTTGTACGTACTGTCAGTTTGTATATTTCCTTGGTGTTACTGGAAAGATGGCAAAGAGAAGTGAATTCGAATCCTATGGGCTCGAGCTGTAGGAAGGAAAATTTTGTGCTTGAAATAATTAAAGATTTTCAAATACTATGGTTGTTGTTGAAATATATTATCAAATAAGTACGTAAGTCATTTTTCTCCATGTAATTTTATGCAATTGAGGTGTTTCATGAATCTATTTTGCCCTACTTTTTCTCGTCAATTCATTTATTTACTCTATGGTCAACCTAATTAGATAAAATGATTGGTACAAAATGTAATGTTAATTAATTAATTTTAATATGTTTATTTTTTTTTTTACCATGAATGTGGCAAATAAACATACTGCCCGTCTGACGGTGAACGGTCACTGTATTTAAATGGCTACATTTTTTTTTTTAAATATATATTACATTTTTAGATTAATCTTTTCACTGTTTAGTCTTCATGCAGTGGCAACTTTATATTTTATTTGTTTTTTTTTTAATTATTTATATTTGACTATGACAACTGTACTTATTTTTAGTCTCCCCCCATTTCTCCTTAACACTTTTATCCATACCGTAG